GGCCCCGGGTGGGCCGGGCCCCGCCGTTGCGCCCCACGCCGGGCACGCAGCGCCCCGAGCGGCTGTCCACTTCGCAGTTCTCGCCTGGGGGAGAGCGAGACAGGAGGCTTGGGACACGTCCTGGCTTGGGGGCACACACGCAGCAGCTGCCCATCCACTCCTTGCCCTGGGGGCGCAGACCTCAGCCCGGGTTTGGGGCAGGAGTTCATGGGGCGGCTGGGGGCAGGCGAAGGATGTGACAACCCAGGTGTCACCCAGGTGTTCCCCACAGTAGCCAGCAAGCTAGCTACCGCTGCCGGCCCTGCAGCCCAAGCCCCTGGGCTGGATGGGGTGCCAGCTCCAGCTGAAAGAGGAAGTTTGGACCCAGGATAGCACGGGAATGGGACAGGAGGGGACTGGCCACAGCTGAGCTGCACGGTCCTAAGGATGGAGAGGCAAGGACAAGTCAGGGAAGTCCTGGCGATGCTGAGAGTGTCTCCTTGGGCACAGCCACCACGAAAGCCTGGGACAGGCATCACAGTCCTGGCTCCAGGGTGTGGGGAAAGCCCAGCACCGCTGCGCTGCCCTGCCGATAGCTATGAAAGTCTCGCCCACAGCACCAAGAGCCTCCTAACCCTGTGGGCAGGCTCTGACGTACGAGCAAAAGCCAAGCCGGACGAGGGACACCAAACACCCTTGCACCTTGCTGGCATTGCTAACGGGGACGCCCCAAGCCAGCCCAGCGGTGCAGTGCAGGGGCCTGGCCAGCTCCTTTCCCGTGCTGTCCCTGCAGCACGCAGGGGACTGCTCAGCTGCAGTCCTACACCCCGGGCCCTGCTCCCATTACTTTGCTGTGTGGCACGCAAGGAGGATGAGGAGACAGCATGAAGTGACAGGGAAACGAGCTCATTAACCCTTCTGCTAATGGCTGTTCACGCTTCAAATGCTGGGGGTTAATTACCACTGACTCTGCTTATCTCACCAGGAGCCACCGACAGGAGAGTGGCTCCAAGGCAGCCATCTGCTGCCACACTCCCTCCCGGTGGGGAGGGCAAAGCAGGGGCTCCCTCCCCAGTAGCCACAGGCCACCTTCCCTCACGCCCAGACTGCCCATGTCTGGGCACACGTCTCCACAGCCTCTCGAGGACTTGGGACAAGACGACACTGGCTGGCCCAGGGATTCCGCCCATGGCTAGGGCCAGATCTGCCTGGATCAGACCCTGCCTGGTGAGGCAGCTAGGTCCAGCCTCCCCTTCCAGCCTCCCCTTCCATTTTCAGTGGGCAGCAGCTCACCCACCGCATGTGGGCTCCACACCTCTGCCAGACCAGCTGAGGACTGGCACGGGCTGAAACCAGGACCTCGAATGGTCCAGAGCCCATCGCCCCGCTGGCACGGGGCAGGGCTGAGGAGCCTCCTGTGCCCCAGCCTGGCACAGTCCAACCTGGTCTTCCTGCTCTGAAAAAAAGGCTGGGAGGTGGTGGCCAGGGTCCCCAGGAGCCCTCCATGCCACCTCCCTAGAAGACAGATTTCTATGGCAACCTCAGCCCTGTGCATCCAGTGCCATGGAAACACGGAGAGCCGGGAGCAGAGCCGGACCTCTGCAGGAAAAGAGGGGCTCCGCCACCCACCGCCCTGCTAGGAAGAGCACCCCGCCATGGTGACAGCAACGCCAAGGGACCCGCTCACCCATCCCCCCGCAGCCCCCAGCTCCGGGCACTCACCGCTGAAGTGCTGGCGGCAAATGCATGTGTATCCCCCCTCCTTGCGGGTGCAGATCCCGCCATTCAGGCAGGGGTTGGAGTAGCAGAGGTTGATCTCCGTTTCACAGTAGTCCCCGGTGAAGCCCTGCGGGCAGCGGCACCGCAGGCCAGTGATGGGGTGGATGGGCCGAAAGAGGGTGGAGGGGGAGGCGATGAAGGGGGCAGAGCTGTCAAACTTGAGGACGGAGATGCACTTCATGTAGTTCTGGCAGGGCTCCCGCAAGCAGACGTTGTCATCGAAGGGCAGCACCTCCAGCATGGAGGCGCCCGTCAGTGCCATGCGCTTCATGTACAGCTGCTCCTGCAGCTCCTCCGAGCTGAAGTAGCGCCCGCCCCGTGGCGCCAGGGCCGAGAAGCTGACGTTGAGCACCATGCCGCCCACGTCTGTGTCATTCTGGATGTTGAAGATGAAGATGTCCTCCTTGGGCGTCGCGAGCACGGTGGCCACCCCTTCCAGGAAGGTGGACAGCAGCGGGGAGAGGAAGCGCTCCTGCCACATGTTCTCCAGCCGCACCGTGATGCTGTTAGCCAACATGTCCTCCGTGATGATGATCACCCGCAGGACACACTGGGCCGTCACGCTGTGGATCCCATCTGTGGGAGGGAACAGGGACACGCTGCAGGTCTTTGCCTGCTGCTCAGAGGGTCTCCTCCCTCCCACCCCAGGGCAGAGCCCTGCACCTCAGTGTGGCCCCCAAAAGGACCCAGTCCTTGGCTAAGAAAGCTCAGAGCCACAGCCCCAGCGGCTAGCAGGGTGCCACCTGGGCTAGAAGGGGAGCGGTCGGTGCGGCTGCACCTTCTCCCTCCCTCAGGCTCTCCACTGAGATCCTGGATCTCGGCAGCAAACTGAGCTCTCAGGAACAAAGATGCTGGTGAGACTGGGGCAGAAGGAAGTCCCAGCAGGAGGCTGGGCAAACACAGGAGCCGATGCCAGGGCCTGGGGTGTTTTGTTTCCCTGCTGTGCCCTGTCTGCCTCCCCCACGCTGCCTTTCCCTGTGCTCTCCTCCTGCCGTTTCCTTCCTCTCTCCTCCAGGGTATCCAAGGCTTTTGTGCCGGTCTCCCTGCTTCCCCGCTTCTCACCATCTGCTCCGCATCTCTTCCTCCCTCGGCCCATCTCCGGTTTGTTTAATTCTCTTTAATCTTTATTTTCCTTGGAAACAAACTCCCTCCCCTTGGGACCCCACACCGCATAAGCAATCTCCCAAGCGCGAACACAACAGCGTGCATGCACGCTCGGAGCGTGCCAGCACGCCCGCCTGCTCTCTCCCAGGACCCTGGCCGTTAGCGGCATCTCCCCGCCGCATCAGGCACCCTCACGTGCCAGCAGCTCAGGCTGCAGGGGCGCAGGCAGCGCAGCACCAGCCCCAACAGGCGACGGCGCAGCTCCCACCACAGCACCCACCCCAGCAGCAACGCGATTTGAGGCCTCCTGCCTCACCCCACCTACCCAGCTCCCAGAAACTCAACGAATCCCACTACCTTGCAAGGTCATACCCTGCTGCAAATTAGGAAACACTGGCCAAGATGGGAGCTGGACAGACAGACAGATGTGACCACGTTCCTAATTCCTCCAGGAACCCCTGCTACGAGCACAGGCAGGCACACGGCAGCCCTCCCAGGGGGATGCAGACTGTAATTACCCCAGCTGGGGACCTGTCAGGCAGCAAACCTTGCTCAGATAAAACTCCCACTGGTCCCCTCCAGAGCACAAGCGTCCCAGCCCATTCCCCGGCCTCACCACCTTACACTGCCCAATTGCAAGCTGCCTGGCCCTCTGCTGGGCCTGTCGCTCTTCCCCCTCTCTGCCCAGGCAGAAGTTTGGGCAGTGGTTTTATTTTTTAGTTATAACTTTCCTTTCCATGTGATCCCAGTCAGTGGCTTTGCCAGGAGGTATCCCACAAAGCAGCTTGCCAAGGTTCCCCTTGCTCAGGCCACCCCGGGCACCTTTGCTTGCAGCTTTGGCCGGGGCACCCCAGAAGGGGAGAAGCCTGCCTGCTGCTCCGGGACACCTCCTCTCCCCCCAGTCCCCCTTCTTCTGGGCCCTCCGCCCCAGGCAGGCAGAGCCAGCCTTCAGCATCACGAAGCAAGGACTGCGCCTACATCTGTGGCCCCAGAAACGCTTGACGAGGCTCATCAAGAGCCTCACTGCTCCTGGTGAAATGGGGTGATCCATCTTCCAGCCCACTGCCAGCACCCCAATGCTAATGCCCCATGGGCATCAGCAGTACGTGGCTGTAGCCTGCTGTTCCCATCTCCCACCCCACATCCACCAGAGAGCCCCAAACGCCCGCATTTCCTTGGAAACCTGGCTCTCGATCATCATCCTGAGACAAGGTTTACATCAGCACATCTCAGTGGTGACTCCCAGGACTATCCCTGGGCACCAAGCCGTGCTGTAACGTCCCCCACCCACGACCGATGAGTGGCAAACACAAGCCGCCCCCTTCCCCTGGGGATGGTGGGTTCGGCTGCCCGTGCACCCCCACAGGCAAGGCCACCTGAACAACGAGCGAGGGGTTTTCCAGGACGTTCCCCTTTCCCCGTCTGCCACGCTGACCCCTGGCAGGTGACTCCGCTCCACAGAGACAGCCTTGCACATCCCCTGTGGGGCATCTGCATCAGGTTCAACGCTCTGGCCTCCAGTTTACACACTGTCATGGGAGATGGGCTTGTAAAAAGGTAGGCAGGAGGGCTGAGCTCGCTAAAGCAAAGATCCCCCAGCACCGCCAAGGGCAGCCCCCGCTCTGCCTCAGCCCAGCCCTCACCCGTCCCCCAGCACACACTGGCATGGGCAAACCAGGCGCCCAGCGCGGGGCTTCTCGCACGTTGCAGACCGCGCCGAAGCCAGACGTGAAGCAAGCCCGGCAAGCTCCGCCAGACCCTGCTCAGCACTGCTCCATCCCCGGCAGCCCAGTGCAATGCGGCAGGAGGAGCGGCAGGCTTGCCGGCAGCCTGGCCAGCCCCAGCCCCAGCCCCAGCCCTGCCGAGGGCCAGGGGGTGTAAACGCCAGCTCCCCGTCCCCTGCCCACGCCCCAGCTACAAGCCTCACATGCAAAGCTGCCTTTGCTGCTCCTCTCTCCCCATGGCTGCCGCGCTGCAAAGCCTTTTGGTTCCCCTTCAGCCCTGTTTGAAGTTTGCAGCGCAGGAGGATTTGAAGATTGAAATGTCTCCCTTTTTCCCTCTCTCTCTCTCTTCTACTCGTCAGAAGGTGAAAGCTCTCTGACGACCCTGCAAATTCCCATGCAAGCGCCAGCCTGCGTGCTGGGGCTGGTGCTCTGGAGATAAGGCTCGCACCGGGCTGGGGGAGCAGCAGCGCCGGTACAGTCACCCAGGAGCTAATCTCCTGGAGGAAGGGGGGTTGCTTTTCTCTCAAATCAAACTGCTGCCGCCCCATATGGAAGCAAGGTGAGAATCCACCCCTGCGTGACACCCTGCCAGCTCTGACATGGAGGGCACCATGAGCAGCGGGTACCAAACAGCACCCGGTCCAGCACCCGACTGGATGTGCCAGGGGATTTAGACCTGTCTGAGCTCAGCACAAGGAACTGGCATCATCACCTGCATCCCCTGAGGCACCTTCTCTCTGCAAGAGGCTCACCCAGCCCTGGGGAGGAAGGCAGGAGGGGAAAGCCACAAGCGTGGCCCAGTCGTGCTTGGCGTAAGAGGCTCCCCAAGCCACCAGCAGTCCGGCATCCCTCCCCGAGGGACCACCTGGTGAGGCAACACCCTGGGAAGCCACCGCTTTGACACCAGCTCCCTTCTCAAAAAAAAAAGGCAGGGTGGCCCCAGCCCATCGCTGCACCATGTCCCCGCTCCCTCTCCTCTCCCTTTGTCCCGTCCTCACAGTTTGCCAAGGCAAGCGTGAGCTCAGTTCAAGCCCAGCTGCCTCCGACTCTCCTCTCTCCGGCTCGTGGTTCACCCAGAAGCAGCTGCGAGGCCCGGGGGACAGCTCTCCCTCTCCCCAAGGGCTGCTCAGTGCCCAGCAATAGGCAGGCAGACATCCGCCTGATTTACGGCTGTTATCAGGCCTTCACTGATACGACGCTGAGTCCTGGGGCAGGCCGGAGGCCAGCAATGCCTCCCAGGAGCAAGGAGGCCGTGGCCGGGGAAGAAGAGGGGCTGCAGGGTGCCCAACACCTTTGGCATCACCCAGCCCACAGCAGGAAAACCCAAGCGCCCCGTTCGTGGCTCCCTGCAGCAATGCGGAGCCAGACCCAGCCCCACGGTCCTCCTTGGTAAGCTCCCCCATACCACACTGTCCCACCTCAGCATCATGCCCAGGGCTGCCTCCCCCCTCGGCTCCGTGCAAGGGGAAGCAGATGGTTAAAAGAATGACCTGCTGCAAGTGGGGGGGGGGAAAGCTACCAAAAGAAAGCCCAAAGCTGGCTGGAGGCACTGACCCCCCTGGGAGGCATTTTAATCACAAATGCTCAGCCTTTCTGATTAAACCCTGTGGCTGGAGAGCTGGTGACTGGTGAATATTCATGCAGCAGAGTGAGGAGCCCTGGAAACATGCCTACAGGGAAAGAAGCAGGGAGAAGGGACACGAGGGGCTCTAACCTCTATGCTCTAAGCCCCATGCTCTAACCAGCACCTGGTCATCGTGTTTGCAGTTCCAAGACTGACAATTACCAGCTTCAAAAGCAGCAAAGGTGCAGAAAGAAGAGCTCCGGCTGGAGAGCGGGATGGGCACGGACTCCCCTGGGGGGGCTGCGCTGTCAGCCTGGGAACGGAGCTCCAGGCCTGCGCTGGAAACCTCTTGGGGGGAACAGGGCTGCCGACCGCTGCCCAACAGTCTCCTGGGTCTGCCAGGGTCTCCTGTGCCCCCCGTGCTGCCAGAGGCTCTCCGGATCCCCAGACAGCACCCCAGCCCACTGTGCGGCACGAGGCATGGGCTCCAGCCAACGCTCCCACCCCAAGAGCCCTGGAGTCACTAGCAGAGGTTCCCCTTCCTCTACAACAAACATTTTGGCCTTCAACCTCCCAGGGAGCTCCAGGGATCAGGAGGAAGGCATCTCAGCTCAAACGGCCCCCCTGACCCAGGAGGGGACGGACCCCTGTCCCTCACTTGGGGGGACCAGGAGCTCCGCAATAGGCTGCGGTGCATCACCACCCACCCTCTTCTGAGCAGCAGCACCAGCGTCCGAGAGCCAAAGCCACCGCTCTGACTGCAACACCCTGAGCAGCCACCCCAGAGATGGCGCGGGTAGTCTGGGGACAGAAGGGGGTAGCCTTCACATTTGCAGTAAAACACCTCCAGACAGAGAAGCCAGGAAAGGAGAAGACGGGTATGGGTAAGGTGAACATTCCTCACCACTTCTGAAGGGCTTTGGCAGACCTCTCAAGATTTCGATGATACTTGACAGGTTAAGAGATCTTGGAAGTAAATCAGACTCCCCTCTCCCAGCACAGAGTATGCATGTCACTCTCCCGGTAGCTCGAAAGACAGGGACTAAAACAGAATAACCAAGACGACTCCAAAACCGTTCCCTAATCAGGAATGGAAATCCTGAAGTCTCCCACCCTAACTGTGTGGTCAGCACCTCCAGCTGCAATGGACCTAAGAGGGGAGGAAGCTCCTGAGAGTGGGGTCCTCAAGAGAGGCTCTGATGTGTTCAGACATCGGAGTCAGGACAAACGTGCTCTAGGGGCGTCTTCCCTGCCAGGCTGGGATTTTAGGCGAGACATCTCGGACAAACGAGTCCCCTCACCGGGGCAAGCTCCTGGGCTGCAGGCCGAGGGGAGATGAGTACAAAGAGCTTGAGAGGAACAGGGGCAATGCAGCAGCCACAGCTGAGTGCGGCTGAGCCTCCACCCTTGCCACCAGCCCAGCAGCCTGGCCCAGTGAAACCAGTCTGGAATGGTTTAAAGTCAACTGCACGTCAATTTCTACAATGCCCCGATCTCGCACTGTGCTGCTGGCCATGGACACAGCCCCACCGCCCCACTGCCTGGCACCCTTAGTGGCCAAGAGCCATTTTTAGCAGCCATAGGTGCCCACACATCTGCAAAGAGCTGGGGTCAGCTTTGAGGCAGTCAGTCCCCCTGGAAAGGCACTGGTTTGTGGTGGCCCAAGTCTTCCCTGCCTCCCACGAGGGGCTGAGCTGGGAACACGCAGGCAGGCAGGCAGGAGGGCCCTTTGCCCTGGGATTTAGGGGGATCCAGCCTCCCTCAAAGGGACCATAAAGCTCACGGGCAGGCAGGGAAACCGCTCCCTCCTTGGATGCTGACCCTCGGGGCACCCACCTAGGTGCTATTGTTGCCTTCCTGCAGGAGGAAGGTGCTCTGGCGCGGCACTGCGCCCGGGCAAACAATGCAGCCGGGTCTGAACGTCTTGGCCGCCAGCTCTGCAAACCCACCCTCCCCCTGCACGCAGCGGCAGCATGGGGCCGGCAGGGTTGCCAGCTGGGCGGGGGGCTTCGAACAATAACGAAGGAAAAACCAAACCAGATCTCCACCTCCATCGCTAACATCAAAGCCAACAAAAGGCCCGTTTTCCAGTGTCTCGCTTCCCTCCCCGGTACAGCTCTTCCCCTTCCATCTTCTCCCCTCCTTTGCAAGCGCACCTCTCCCAGTCTCCCTTCCCGCTGGAAGATGACGACACTCTAATTGCAAGGGCCCCCTCGCCGCGAGGCGGCTCGGCGACGCAGGACTTCGGGACGTGATTGTCTCCTGCCTTTGTGCAGGGTTAAGTGTGCGAAGAGGCAGGGCTTGCATAAACACACTCGAGCAGAAGCTGGAAAGGTCAAAACCACCCTCCATCTCCAGCGATGGGCATGTGTGCGCCTGCACCCGCTCTCAGCCAGCCCTGCAGTTACAATTAACCCCCAAAGAGCCCCAATTCACCGATGGGCTGGTGCTGGCCATGAAGGATTGCCTTGAACGGGTCTCCTCTTAAAGCCCTCGCTCCATCTTTTGAAAGAAATCCTCCCCTTGCTGAATAAGCCGGATGGAGAGAGGGAGCGGGTGAAAAGGGAGGGCAGCTGGTAGCCGAGGGTCAGGGGAGCATCACGATTTAACATACGGCTCCCCAGGCACTCTCGGTAATTTGGCACTGGGCCCCTCCAAAGAGGGCTCTCGCCCTCCCTCCCCGAGAGCCGCTCCTCGGTTCAGCGATGGACGGATGCCTCCATTTCAGATCACGCATCCGCGAGCAAAGAAAGGCTGATGGTGAAGGCAAAGCTCCGGCAGTGGGGAGCTCCAGGTCGAAACCCCGCTTGCTCACAGACAAGCCCCTAGGTCCATCTTTGCCCTGCCCTCAGCTGCTCCAGCGGGGACCCCAACACTCCCCAAAGCCACCCCGGCAGCTACTGCTGGCATCTGCATTTGGATACTCCAGCAACACACACGATGCGAGAGTTTTAAGTGCCGCGCTCTGAGGTTTGCCACAGCTGTCCCCTGCAACGCTAAGTCGGCTGCAGAAAGGTGGTACCAGGTTTTAGAAGCCGCACCAGAAAGCGCAGGTGTACTGGGGTACACAGCCAGAACCCGGACCGAGCCGTTTAGCTACCAGCAGACGGTATTTTTAAGAGAGTTCCCTCCACACCGAGTTCAATCCCTCCCTCCCGAGCACAGCCGGGGAAGCGCTCGGTCCCGGCAGGCAGAAGAGCCACCCGGGCTTGGGAGCGAAGCGGCGTGCCAGCCCCTGGGCCGGCAGCTTGGCCACCCCAGGAACCAGCTGCTTGTCCGGCCAGCACCCTACGGCGCACACTGCAGCCTCGCTGGTGACGGCACCTCCAAAGGTATCTCGCTAGCAGCTACGAGCGATCCTCACAGCTGAGTAACGATGCTTTGTTCTTGCAGACCACCTCCGGCCTCGGCCCCCATACAGAGCGCTCCCCTGCAGCATGCCCCCGCCACCACCCTTCCCAGCCCCTCCAGCATTCCCTGACTGGAAGGGACTCCCAGTCCGAATCTTGTTGCCAGTCCCCAGGCCGCCCCCCCCGGTGCAGAATGGCGTCCCCCAGGGGGACCACGCAGAGCCCCCCGAAGGTACTGCACTAAAGGTTTAATGATTTTCAGCCCCTACCTGTGACGGTCACCAGCATGGAGGCCACAAGCGGGCGGTTGTTGTCCAGCTTACGGCTCAGCCTCAGCTCCCCGCTCGATTGATTTACAATCAACAAGTGAAGTTCATTTCCCCGCTCAAAGGTGTAGAAGAGGCGGTCGGACACATCTGGGTCATAAGCTGGGACCTTCCCTATGACCCCCGAGGGGAAGGTGTTGGACTTATTGGACACGTAGTTATTGAACAGGATCTGGAAGTTCTTGAGAACAGGGCTGTTGTCATTCTGGTCAATGAGTTTGATGTGGACCGTGGCTCTGCTGACCAGAGGGGCAGAGGTGGCCTGCACTACAATCACGTACTCAGGTTTCGTCTCGTAATCCAGGTCTATCAAGGCTGTGAGCTCCCCAGAAAAGATGTCCATCTGGAATATCTCGGGGATGTTGCCTTCCACAATTTGGTACATGATCTGGGCATTGGGTCCCTCATCCGGGTCGACGGCTGTGATTTGGGCCACGACAGAGCCTACAATGCTGTTCTCCTTTACCAAGACCTCAAACTCTTCAGCAGGCAAGAAAGACAGGGGCGTTGTCGTTCACATCCTGAATGGTAACCTGGATGTGGACAGGAGTTCGCTGAGGAGGGATGCCCCTGTCCACAGCGTACGCAGTCAGCTCATAGACGGGAACGTTCTCACGGTCCAGTCTGCGGACGGTGCGAATGATCCCCGAGGTGGGCTCTATGGTGAAGTCTCCATCCCCATCCTCCCCGTTTTGGAAGGTGTACTGCACTCGCCCGTTGGTGTGGGCATCCCGGTCAGTGGCAGAGATCTGGAGCACGCTGGTGAAGGGAGGTGCGTCCTCAGAGATCATGCCCTGGTAATGAGGGCTGACGAACTGCGGGGCGTTGTCATTAACGTCATTCACCATGATTTCAACGTAGGTGGTGTCCGCTTTCTGGGGGATCCCGTTGTCCTTGGCAGTGATAGCCAAGGTGTAGGTGACCTGGTCCTCATAGTCCAGTTGTGCCTGGAGAGTGATGGCCCCGGAGTCTGGATCGATACGAAACTGAGGGACGTTGTCTTCTAGGTAGTACGTGATGCGGGCGTTTTCCCCCACGTCATCGTCTGTGGCACTGATCACCACCACGGTGCTGCCCACGGGCCGGTCCTCATTGATGCTCACAGAGTAGTGGGCGCTCTGGAACACGGGCCGGTGCGTGTTGGCATCGGTGATGTTGATGTGAACGTGGCAGTTGTCCCGCAGGGTGCGGTCAGAGGCGGTCACGGTGAGCACGTAGCGCCTCTCCTGCTTGTAGTCCAGCGGCAGAGACAGAGTGATGAGCCCCATCCCGCCTTGCGTGCTGATGGAAAAGCGGTTCCGCGTGTTGCCTCCCGTGATCTGGTAGGTGATGGCACTGTTCACATCCCGGTCAATTGCCGTGACGCTGAGGACGCTGGTCCCCACGGCTGCGTCCTCGTTCAGGCGGATGAAGTACTCCTTCTGGGTGAACTCGGGACGGTTGTCGTTGACATCCATGACGGTAATGGTGACGCTGGCGGAGGCGGATAAAGATGGAGAGCCGTGGTCCCGAGCCTCCACCCCAAAAAAATAGTGCTCGACTGACTCGCGGTCCAAGGGCCCGCTGACCGTGATCCACCCCGTGGCACTGTTCACCACGAAGGGTGTGTCAGCCGAAACCCCCGTCAGTTTGTACTCCAGGCGCGCGTTCTCGCCATAGTCCGCGTCCACGGCCTGGATGTGGATGACAGAGTGGCCGAGGGGAGCGTTCTCCAGGACGGAGATTTGGAAAGGGGTGCTGACAAAGATGGGGGCGTGGTCGTTGATGTCCACCACCTGGATGCTGGCCATGCCGGTGTTGTTGGAGAGGGGAGGGCGCCCCGCGTCCTGAGCCCGGATCCTCAGGGCGTACTCCCGCTCCACCTCAAAATCCAGCGGGGCCACCACCTGTATCTCCCCAGTGACGCTGTCGATGGAGAACTGGCCCCGGCTGTTCCCGCTGATGATGTTGTAGTGGACCAGCGCGTTGTTGTCCTTGTCAAGGTCCGTGGCGGTGACGCGCAGGATCTCGGTGTGGGGCCGTATGTCCTCCCTCACCTGGACGATGTAGCGCTTCTCGCTGAACTGAGGGGTGTTGTCGTTCTCGTCAAGGACCGTGATGTAGACCTTGACTGTGGCGGAGCGCGGCCCCGGCTCCCTCCCCTGGTCGTTGGCCTCCACCACCAAGGAGTACCTCTCCATCTTCTCCCTGTCCACCGGCCCGCTGGTGGTGATGAGGCCAGAGCGAGGGTCGATCTCGAAGACGGCGTGGGCGGCCCGCTCGTTGACGAAGCGGTAGCGGATGTTGGCGTTGGGCGGGGAGTCGACGTCGGTGGCCCGCAGCTGCAGGATGGGGTAGCCCTCCTCCACGTTCTCCCGGATGGTCTCCCGGTACTCGCCCTGCTCGAAGACGGGGTCGTGGTCGTTGCGGTCGGCCACGGCGATGGCCACCATGGTGGTGGCGGAGAGCCGGGGCGCCCCGTGGTCGGCGGCCGTCACGCGGAAGTAGTGCAGCTCCATGCTCTCGCGGTCGAGGGCCTGCGTGGTGGTGATGAGCCCGGCCCGCGGGTCGATGCTGAAGAGCTCCCGCGAGCGGCTGTTCATCAGGGCGTCCATGGAGTACACCAGCCGCCCCGCCTCGCCCCCGTCGGGGTCCTGGGCCGCCACCGCCACCACCGCCGTCCCCGCCGGCTGGGTCTCCGCCACCTCCGCCC